CTCTTCCGATCTTATGAGATCATACAAATTACCAAGTATTTGATTAGACATAGAGAGTAGAGACAAAAATATTTTATTCCAAATCAAAAAAATATTTGTTTAATAAATCGTTTAAATTATTCAAAATTATATGCAGCAAAAAGTTTAATGCCATTGTCTTTCCAATTAAGTTTCGTAATAACAGACTAATTAAAGTATTAAAATGATCAATATATAGAATCATAGTGAAACAAAAACTTGGCCATTACGTAAAATTTTTTCTTTTTATTAAATGATTAGTATCTCGATAACTATTGCGAAGATCGCAAAATGGTAGAGGACTTTTTTGTTCAGTTTGGTCCTACACGTCTATACCTGCATGCCCACAATAAGCGCTGTACCATTGAGTACGAGACACCCAGCAAGAAAGAACAAACAAAATACATTTTTGTCGTTGTATTTTCTGTACTTTCCATCCTTCCTCTTTTTATTTTCTCCGACGCAATTACAAAAGTACACCCCTTAATTGTTTTTTCAATGCAGAAAATATAACTTAAGTGCAGCTATATAATAAAGTACCACTGATCTATATACATATCTAATATATTTATGTAAAGAAGAGATATATATTTATAAAAAAGTTTAGAAAAAAAAATTTTTTTTAAATGAAAAACGATAGAACGTAAAATACGTAAAATAATTTTAGATGAATACGGATATAAAATTTGCGAGTGATCTTCTAATCGATTACTATCGATAACGTCCGACTTTTCGTATCGATCGTTTTATGCACCGGGTTGCCAATAAATGTTGCCACTTGCCATTGCCATATTGAAGGTCCGGCTGTACTTCGATCGGTGTCGACGCGGGCCGACACGGTTTGTTACACGATGAATTGTTTAAGTTTAACGTTGGCGATTTTTATACCTTCTTCACACGGAGAAAGCCGGCGCGATTTACCCTCGATTTAAATGCGTGAGGTACTGAAATGACTAACATACGCCGACTCCGATTCTCGTTAGGGTTCTGGTTTGACGTTTTGCTACGTGTCTTTCTGGCAGTGCTATTCGTGTAAGTTGACATTTTATGGGCGTGCAGTTAAACAATCAATATGTTATAAGTAATTTGAGACGTGTTGTTAATTTTTATTCAAATGTCAGTTTACAGTACTTTAATATTAATTTGTGATAATTAACAAGTATTAAGAATTTTATTCATATATTTTTATTACATAGACACAAGTTTGATGGCTCTTTTTTTATTGATAGCTATATTAATATTATTTATAATAGATAACAGTGATTTTTATTTGAGAAAATGAAGCATCTGAGAAACAATTGTCCATCTTTTCTAATTAATATTAATAATAATTAATAACGGTGTTAGAAAAATGATCAAGAAAAATGATATAAATTGTACTTAATATAAATAATATAAATTATTTTTAATGATTATTATTGTATTTGAGGAACTATTGTCCACCTTTTTTTTAATCATATAAATGCTCGTTATTATAAAAACTGAATGTATTGCAAAACGCTGAATTTGAATGGCTTTTAGGGAGCTGGAAAAAGCAGAACCATTTACGAGAAAAATTCACGAAGACGAGCTGTGGTTGTACAGAAATCCGAGAACAGACTCTTTCGTTCCAACTACAGTATTATGGGTACACATATATTTATTAGAAAGATTTCAATAAATAGGAGTCTCAATAAAATTAATATCGTATAACTTCGTATAATGTATGACTGAGTCGACAAGGCAC